CCCCACGCGGAGGCGAAAATCAATATAAAAATAATATAAACAACTTTCTTTTGTTCCTATTATTTTATAACGCTAGGAAATAAAAAATATTGTTTAGTATCTGTTGTACATTTTTACAAGGACATTTTTTAAAGATAAAAATAAGTGCTTCATTTTACTTTTTTCTTGCGGCTTCGTTCCACACGGGAAATTAAATGATGGGGTCACGACCCTCTAATTTACCAGAGGCAAATGGAGGATTTGTCCTACACTCCCCACGCTGACCAGACGGGTTGGGGAGGCCTGATGTCCGTATATTTATCCCTTAATCGCCTTTTACGACATCCACCAGAAAAGTGGTACTGTACTATAAAATACTCTAAACAAATAGCTTCGAACTCCTCCTATGTTCTTCTGATTAATTTCGTTGCGGGTCCAATGACAGTTTAACTTTCCCCCGGGACAAACTTGACCTTCACTGCTTGGGTTATTGGCGGTCAAGCTGTGGATCCTGGCTACACAGGAGTTGCAGCTGTGGGAACGAGAGGTGGGAATAGTAACGTAAACAAATAGACTGCAAATACACAAGCTTGGGTTAACTGTGAAACGCGCAATAATATCACCTTCAATAAACTACAATAAACGGAACATCAACATTTGTCCTCACTGGGATCGAACTGGTAACGATCTTGTTAAAGTCGGATCTGACGGATGCAATCGGTTACATGGTTAAGTACACGTGGTTCATCATTCCGTTCATCATCATCATTATTTCAGCCATAGGACGTCCACTGCTGAACATAGGCCTCCCCCAATGATTCCCACAAAGGCCGGTTGATAGCGGCCTGCATCCAGCGCCTTCCCGCTACCTTTATGAGGTCGTCAGTCCACCTTATGGGTGGACGTCCTACTTCGTTCGTCTCAACCAAATGACGTCGACTGCTGGACAATGGACGGCCCTGTCTATAGTTGTAGGACTGATGGCCTTTTGGGTAGAAAAGTTCTGGAGACCACGGGCTGAAAGACGTAGTATGGACAGGGCCGACGATCTGGTGAAGGTCGCAGGACTGGTCGATGACACTGCCCTGCCGAATTGGATTCGACGATTGACCTATAATTTATTATTATTTACAGAAATTGGACCTACGTATTTGTCCCAGGTATAGGTGTTTAGATTTACTTCCGGTTAATTTCATGGCTGAAAATGGGACTTTGTTTGGTTTTTGTTTATGCAGAACGAGGCAGGTATTTGACCACAATCACACCTGATGTTAAGTGAGATGCCGTCAAGGATGGTACATAATTATCTGCCCTGTAAGTGCCTATTCACTCTGACCTTGAAGAAACTCGGATTATTTGGCCTGCATCTCTTGTGATGGTAAGTGATGATCAGGCCGAAGGTGGAAGCGAGCTTACCCGGAATCCTCAACCACAGAGAGGAACTGGCTATCCTGCCTCCAACTGCCGGAACACAACATTTGCTGGCTGTCATATTGTTGTTATGGCGACAACTTTAGGTAAGAAGATGGTAACTAGTGTTTACTAACTTAATATTAAATAAAATATTGTCATTGCAAATTGACATCGTTAACATTTGACATCTTTAAAATATGACACCAAGTAGGTACCTACTTTCAGTTAAAATAAAGATTTTTCAATATTTCTGAAGTTCTTAACATTAATATGCATGCCGAATTAATAAATAAATATTTGTAAAACACAATGTTGCTGTGCCCACTGCCCATACCGGGTCTATGTTTGAGACTATAGATTGTTTATTATGTACAACTTAGAAGAAGCTCTAGCATCAACCAAACGGAGCAAAAAAATGTCCCTTACGGAGAAAAGTTATGCCTATTAATTTTCTAGTTATAAAAAAAATCTAAAATCAAATCAATCATATTTTATTCAATTTTGACCACTACTGCACTGGTGGCACTTATGAACGTCAAAATATCTATACTTATAATAAATCTGTAGAGAGGTCAATTCTGTACATTAAATATATATTCAAAATAACTATCAGGGGGTGATTAGTGTTCGATACTGATGCCAAAAATGCAATCAGTAAATTTTTTTTCTGTCTGTCTGTCTGTCTGTCTGTCTGTATGTTCCTTATAGAAACAAAAACTACTCGACGGATTTTAACGAAACTTGGTACAATTATTCTTCATACTCCTGGGCAGGTTATAGTATACTTAGGAATTCCCACGGGAACGGGAATTAGCGGGAAAATCCTTTTGTATGAAAAATCTAAACCGCTTAAGTTAGACGCTTGAAATTTGGCATGCAGGTACCTTACTAAACTTAAAGCTTAGTTACAACAGGATATTGCAAAATTCCCACGGAAACGGGAGTTAGCGGGAAAAAACATTTGTATGAAAAAATCTAAACCGCGTAAGATAGATGAAGGGGGTAAAACGGGATTCACGCGTACGAAGTCGCGGGCGGCCGCTAGTAGTAAATAAAATAAAGGTAGCCCTTATGGGGCACTTTACTTTGGGCCCTACCAGCGCTTCGACACAAACATAATATGGCAAGTGCTGAGAAGAAACGCCGGAACAAACTCAATCACCACTATTTAACAGTAATTATCTAACGGTAAGAACAACCAAATACAAGTACATCAAATATGTGCAGCTGAACTGACCACGCATTATTGTCATCAATGTAGTCTCGAACCTTTGAAAAGCTCTCGAATGGCGACCACGGACCGGAAGGTGTTGTGGGGGATGGGGGATGTCCCTACCCAGGTTAGGTGGACCGAGGTGGATGAACGATCTGGTGAGGGTCGCGGGAGGTCCCTGGATGCAGGCGGCGCAGGACCGGTCGGAATGGTAATCTTTGAGGAAGGCATTTGTCCAGCAGTGGACGGTACAGAAGGTGCATTGGTGGCAACGAGAGGTGGGAATAGAGTATAAAAAAACTACTTCTATGTTTTTGTCCTGTGTCACTGAGGTTAAAATATTGTCTATGATGTCATGCCCCCGTAGGCAGAGCTCTCAATTAAACGGTATGTCTATGACACCACAGTGTAGGTACAATTAGTAGTGTCAAAGAGAAAGGTCGCTGACTGACTCACTCATCATGAAATCTCAGAAACTACAAGTGCTAGGAGTTTCAAATTTTGCATGGGGGTTCCTTTTAGAACGTAGGTGTTCACTAAGACGGGATTTTGCAAAATTCAACCCCTAAGGGGGTAAAACGGGATCCACGCGTACGAAGCCGCGGGCGGCCGCTAGTAACCAATAATTTCATCAGTTTTCATTTGTCTGCATTTTTTTTTATTATATTGTTTTTTCATACAGGCTGTCCTAAAATTAGCACGTCACACTGATATCAGTTGTAGATGAGCTCAAGACGCATAGAACAAGTCCATTTTTTAAAATAACTAAAGATTTGATTATTCGTTTGCATTGAATAGGCTCCGAAACTACTGAACATAGCCGGTTCGAAGTTCGCCGGGTCAGCTAGTCGATCATAAAACTCTGCTACTAAAATCAACTATGTCTACATTAGTAACTACTCCATATTAAAATAGCTATGTGTTTTATTACTATACGCATTCTAAAACCCATTGCACCATTTTGTTGACTGAATAATAAGTATTTATTAATAATTTGCTTCTAAAATTCTACATGTGCGTGCAAAGAAAGGGATTTTAACGATATGTTAATAATTTGTTACGATTTTTATGGCTTCATAACGAATATACGAGATCACGATATGAACGTAAAAAAAAATATGCATTTTACAACTCATTTCATCATATTAAAGGTATTTGAATCATATCACGGCTAAATAGAGTCTAATTTTGTAGTTAAAAGGGTTAACTGACAGATATATCATAGATAAGCTATTAGTTTTGGTATAAAAAATAAATAAAAATTGCAATCGCTGAAAAAGTTTTTTTTTCTTTTAGTGTCAGCTGAATTGAATTTCATTTCTGCCAGTGTGTATTGTTAATAATCATATTTTAAGAATAGTAGGTACATATTTAAAACTCTTTCAAACGATTAGAAATTGCAAAAGCGAAGTACAAGTAGGTTATTTTATAAAAAAAACAGTTTTTTTTTTCATTAAACATTTGTCATCTGTATGTATCGTTTTAAAGTGATTTTTTAATAAAAATATGCAGACGAAACTGTGGTCAAGCATTAAAATATGACAAGCATCATGCAACTATTGATTTCTAATTATTGGTTTTACTAATAACATAAATCGTTACAAAACATGACAAAATCATTTTGTTAGAGCTATTTTCACGTAAATTATGTACACTTCTTTAGACGTTTCTCTAATATGTGCAGTGTGCACTATTTTATTAGATTAAATAATGTTTGCTACACCTTCTTCCATACAATAAAGGAAGTCTAAAATATTGACTAGTTCATAGAAAGAACGATAAAATTATACTGAAGTCTCTATCCATGCTTTAGTTAATAAGATGGAAGTTACATAAATCAGTATGTTCTTCGCTAAAATTGACAATAATCATGAAAATATATCGACATTTTGTTATATTATCGCAACTGCAGTCTTAAAGATTTCGAACGTTAACCAATAAAGTGACATAACTCAAGAATTAAAAATCCAGAGAAATCATCTCGACTCCCAAATCTTCCCAAAAACGCGCATGTCTAACTTCCATTGAGGAATGGACGACAAGGACAGAGCTATCTGGCCAGAGCGAGAGAGCTGGTGGGATTCCAAAAAATCGGGAAACTCCGTCACCATCGCACACATAATGTTCGCATTATGTCATTATGTCACTGGCATGTTAAACCGTGAAAAAGAAAAAAATACCTATGCTCAATTTGAAAATTTCAAAAATCGAACACCGATTCCTATTTCAATTGTTTTCCCAATAAGGTACTTTTTATAGGCACACTTTTTCGATTTCCACACAGCGGGCGGTAGTGATAAGCCGACATACTTACTAACTGCATTAAGTCTAAATTTTTAGGTCACAGAGCCGTCTTATGAAGTCTGGCTAAATTGAATGAGTACGGAATACTTACGTGTTATATTCCAGACGACGACTTTCAGTTCGAACAAGCACCACACCTAATCATTTGTCAAATTAAGAAGATAATTAGCAAATTGAAAAAACTTATAGACGCTTTACTATTGCAATTACACTGCACAGGTTATAAATTAGAATTGGTATTTTTGAACGGAGTACGCGCGCGGCGTTGTTCTATTTTCGTTTTGATGCTGTTGTGGAGTTTTGTACGTTGAATACGGGTTGTGAAACGAATGTGTTGGAAAAAAAATCAATTTGAAACGCGCTACACGGTCGCCATTTTGTATCTGACCGGGATAAGCAGGGGCTGGGCTAGCGCGCATGCGCGGCTCCGGTCACCGCCCAAACTGTCTAGCATGGAGTAGTCAATTACAGATTTTTTATACCCCTCATATTGCGTTTTGTTCGCGAGGAATTTGGCAAATGAAATCCCAAATGAATTCCCATCGAAATTTTGAAAAAATGATTTTTTAAATTGACCCTGTAAAGTACCTTGCATTAAAAAATTACTCTACCCGTATTTTTTTAATGTCTTTTTATAATGGACATAGATCACAGCAGGTTCAGACTTAGATAGATCTACTTTGTCAAAAAAGTAGGCTACATTTACTTGAAAATCTAGGTCAAAACTTATTTTAAAAATGGCGAGAACTCTTGTTCTATTCTTCGAGCCTAATCTATTAGTTTCGATAAATGATGAAAGATTTGTTTATAATTTTTAGCTATTGTATCGCTAAAACGTAGTTTCTACCATAGTTTCTAGTCCGGCCGTTTGGTGTAGTGGTTCGAAACGGACTACTATTCCGGAGGTTGCGGGTTCGATTCCCGCACAGTACAAACATTTGTGTGCATGAACATATTTGTTTGTATTGGACTGGGTGTTTTCTATGTATAAATATATGTATTTAAAAAAAGTATTTAAGTATGTTTATATCTGTTGTCTAGTACCCATAGTACAAGCTTTGCTTAGTTTGGGACTAGAAGCGCAGTGTAAAATGTCCAAGGATATTTATTTATTATTATTTATTTATTATTGTGTCCGGTGCTAGCTGATATTTACTTAGGCCCGATTCGACCAAACTTTTATCCGAGAATAACTCCTGGTATAACCACAGGTATAACTGGCACATTGACAGTGTCAGTATGGGAAATATGTCAAAACTGACGATTTATTCTGAGATTAATATTCACTCTTGTTTGGTCGAATCCACCCATAAGCATATATTTTTAAATACATACATTATTATAAGGTAAAAGGAAATATTTTATTTTATTTCATAATTCAGACATTAAAATAAATTGTTTTACAAGCTAGTCTATCATAAATGACAATATTTTATCCTTTACTAAAGTCAATAATATAATACAGGATAATTAAAGTGTTATCCTTCTATTATTAATTATATGACTATGCGGTAGGGTGACCAAGTAGTTCTATAATGTCGGGATAAAGTGGGACTAAGCTAAAGTTAACAACGAATACGGAAGCACGTCGAAGCTAACTGCGCACCTCGCTGGAATGCACTTACCCGCGTACGTCCCGTCCGTACCAGAACGTCGATGTGACGTCACGGCTGCTAGGTGCTCAGTTAACTCAATCGACTTGTAACGATGATCTGGCGAGGTACTAGATGCAGGCAGCGCGGGAAATCTTTGGGGGAGACCTTTGTCCAACAGTGGACGTCATTTGGCTGAAAAGAACGAATAATAGGTAAAAATAGTAGCAATAAAATTTCTTCAACGACCGGCCCTGTGCTGCACGGTGCCTGCATCCAGGCGCTACCCACGACCTTCACCAGGTCTTCGGTCCACCTAGTGGGAGGCCTGCCCCTTACGTCCTCCAGCCTGTGGTCGCCAATGAGCCTATTGTAGTCTTGACTTTCTTTGACTTAAGGTATAGTAATCCCCTAGATGGGGCAGAGGGCGTCCACAACATTCCTCCATCGCGTTCGGTCTTGAGCTTCGCGTTTGATCTCGCTCCAAATCTTGCCGATCTTCTTCGCCTCGTCTGCCACAGTGCGCCGCCAAGTTTGCTTGGGGCGACCACATTTGCGTTTTCCTTAGGGGTTCCAATCCAGGCCTGCTTGGTGATGTGATCAGGATCTCTTCGGAGAGTCAGCCCGATCGAGTTCCACTTGTGGCGCTTGATCTGCTGGTCGATCGGAATTTTGTGGCAGAGTTCCAATAGCTCGTCGTTGGAGATTTTCTCTGGCCAGTATATGCTAAGAATTCGGCGAAGGCAGCGGTTGACGAAGACTTGCAGCTGGTGTGTGCTAACCTTGGTGACCTTCCACGTTTCACACCTATTGTAGTCTGAAATCATATAATTACATATTTTAAACATAGGCGGGGCACATAGCTCGTAGAGACGATGGCCGTTGGGGCAGGAAAGTTCTCGAGTGGCGTCCACGGGCTGGAAGACGTAGCGTGGGCAGACCTCCTACTAGGTGGACCGACGATCTAGTAAAGGTCGCGGGAAGAGCCTGGATGCGGGCAGCGCAGGACCTTTCACTATGGAAAACCTTGGGGGAGGCCTTAATTCTGTACCCCCAGTGAAAAGGGATCTAACTCGACTTAGATCAAAATTGACTTTATAACATAATGTGAATCTCTGAAAAATTAGCTATTTTTGTATCTAATCGGTATGTTTCTACGACGTATAGAAAAGAAAATAATTTTGTGCCAAATGATACAAGTAAGGCTTTGTGAACCAATTTTGAGTTTTCTTTCGTGTATATTGATACATGTCTACTTTTAACAAAGTGTACCGGAGGCTTCTTTCAATTTTTTATTGTGTCAAGAGGTACGACTCGTGTTACTACTTTTTACACGATTGTAGTTGTTCAGATTGAATTTGTGATTAACAATATAAGATGACTCATATTAATATACACAAAAAAACTATGTATTGTTGGTTGGTGAAAAAGAATGTTACTTAATTTATGGCACAAAAAGTAAAAGACAAATGATTATTTATTTTGTGTATAATGATTCAATTCGACTAATACCATTAACCACAAAAGTTTCGTACATGTGTAAAATGTTATAAGTTACTTAGATCAAAAACATTTGAAAATCGCAACTAATGATTTGGTTAATTATTTGGTGTAAAATGATATAACTTAGCCCAATTGTCAGATTAAAGGAAAAAATAATGTCGTAGTTCATAAATCAAAGAACTTTAGTTAATAGTTTTAATAAATAATGGTTAACATCTACTAGTAAAACGTATAATTGAGTTCATAGTGCCTAACGTTGTCAATAAAAGTACTTAATAAGTGCATTATAGAATTTACAAGAGCTCCAACTACCAGAACTCTTTATAAACAAAACTCATCACCTTAGACAACAAATTGAACTGGGCGAGTCATGTCGAGAACAAAATAAAAATGGCCTGTATAACATTCCATCAGTGCAAGAGACTCATTGGTAGTAGATGAGGTCTCAACCCAAAGATAACACTGACTCTACACGTCGGTTATATGGCCCTCTTACACAAAATATTATAGATCACTTGTGTGGTGGCACAAAACACAACTATCCACAGCAAGATCAAAACTCCAAAGCCTGCAACGCCTAGTAAGCATAGCGGCCACTAGTTGTATGAGAACCACTCCATCGATAAAATGATTTATGTCCCATTACATCACTTTACACGAATGTAAAATTGCCGTGCATGGCGATATAACTGGGTTTTTATTTAATTACGAAAAAACTACATGCTATATTTCCCAAACTGGCACACTGCCTAATTATATCTAACATTACCTTTCACCTAAAAAATATTTCACCAAGTTATCTCTAATAGCGACGAAGCAGGATTTTTTTTAACTTCAAATGCGATTTCCCAAAAATCACCATTTTCGACTTAACTCCGTTTTCACTGGGGGTACAGCTTTGTCCAGCTGTGGACATCATTTGGCTGAAACGACGACGACGACGTACCTATGTTGTAGCTGTCCCACCTCGATACGCCCATATGGTCGCCCTACTCCTCTTGTACTGTTTCTCATAGTAACATCCAACTCAGTACTCAGTGGTCGGTGCGGTGAAAATGTTACTGAAAGTGCCATTTATTTGGATAGGATACCTACTAATAGATAGATTTGTCTCATTCGCCTTCGCAGGTAAGTCTATTTATTTACTAGTTACTAGCTTTCCGCCCGCGGCTTCGCCCGCGTGGATTTTTTTCTGTCACAGAAAACCTTTATCGCGCGCGTCCCTGTTTCCAAAACCGGGATAAAAAACTATCCTATGTCCTTTCCCGGGACTCAAACTATGTCTATGCCAAACATTCAAATCGGTTCAGTAGTTTTGACGTGAAAGAGAGACAGACAGACAGAGTTACTTTCCCATTTATAATATTAGTATAGATCTAGCGGCCGCCCGCGTTTTCGTACTCTTGGATCCCGTTCTACCCCCTTAGGGGTTGAATTTTGCAAAATCCCGTCTTAGTGAGCACCTACGTTCTAAAAGGAACCCCCATGCAAAATTTGAGACTATTAGCACTTGTAGTTTCTGAGCTTTCGGGAGTGAGTCAGTCAGTGCCTTTCGCTTTTATTTAGACCTACTAAAACACCCGCAAGGCGGACAGATGACCTCATAAAGGCTGCAAAGCGCTGGATGCAGGTCGCTGCAAACAAGCCAACCTGGAAATCATTGGGGGAGGCCTATGTTCAGCTGTGGACGTCCTTTGACTAAATGATGACAATGATGATGATGATGAAGAACTTAATAAGTTCTACTCTTTCCTTTGTAACAAAGCATTAAATATCTTGTAGGAGTGTAATCTTCGGAAACATGAATGTGACATAATGTTTAATTCAATACAATCTTGTCGCGACAAGGAAAAAATTTCGTGCTTTTAAGCAATTTTGTGAAAAATATCATTGATCGCCCCATAATCTTCTTCTTGTCGTGTCGACAACAAACCTACACAGCGTCAGCCCAAAACTCCGCCACAAGAGTGGCATAATTTATTGATACTTACTGTCCGTGGTGCATCATTTCTTAAAGGTTAGGTACTTAAACCTTTGTTTTGTGTCCTGTCATCCGCTTAGTTCTGGAGAGAAGTCGAACCTTAACTTCGAACTCCTCTTATATTCAACTGAACTTCTGATTAATTTCGTTTTGGGTCCAATGACAGTTTAACTTTCCCCCGGGACAAACTTGACCTTCACTGGTTATGTTGTTGGCGGTCAAGCTGTAGGTCCTGGCTACACAGGAAGTGCAGCGGTGGGAATGAGAGGTGGGAATAACCCCTTACATTGTACTCCGCCCCACAGAACATCCCGGGTTCGATTCCCAGTGGGGGCAACATTTTCTGCTCGATTTGGTTTTTGGTTAGTGGTATGACTTGTTCAAGCCCACCTTGCTAGCCGCCATCTTACCCAAGTCTGTCGCCATAACAATAAATAACGATGTCGTGCATTGCATGCCCAAAGAACTGCACGCAGGAAGATTTAATTAATGCTACTGACAACGCCAATCTTAGCGGAGTTTTGGGCTGACTCTGTAAAGATTTGTTGTCAACACGACAAGAAGAAGAAAATAGCCAGTTCCTCGTGTTTGAGGATATCGAATCATCAATACATCATCAATCTGGTAGGGCACAAAAGATATAAGGAGAGTCCATGTAAAGTGCTTTATTTAAAAAAAGTGTTTTTTTTTTGTTTTTTTCTTGTTTTGACTTTCATAAGTGCCATAATATTGGTCTGAAATGAATAAAATGATTTAGATTTTTTTGATTTTGAATAAAGATTAACTAGGTACCTATTTAAAAAAACATATTCTAATACCAACTATGGAAACTAAAATTATCATTAATCATTTATGACAACTTTAATAAATGTAATTAAATGTATTGTGGTTAATATTTCCCGATGACTAATGTATTTGAAAGATAATTAGTTACAAAGTTTACATAAATACTGTATTAAAAACCGCTCTAGTGAGAGGCCGTGTCTTTTAACGGGACTATTCCCACCTCTCGTTCCCACTTCCCACCGCTGCAACTCCTGTGTAGCCAGGATCTACAGCTTGACCGCCAATAACCCAACCAGTGAAGGCCTAGTTTGTCCCGGGGGAAAGTTAAACTGTCATTGGACCCGCAAAAAAAATTATCACTTTACTGTTTTTGGTAAATGATTATTTTTACTATACTATCTGAACCTGTAAAAATATTTTTGTGTTGGTTAACCCATTTCTCACGAAAGGCTTTGACATCACCCTACAGCCAATAGGGATGGAGCAGTAAAGAAAATTGTTGCAAAAACGCGAAATAATATTAAAAATTTAATCATCGGCCTTATTAATAAAATTTACACCCTAGTTGAACTCTGGCTTAAGTTGTCATTTAGTATGGCAATGTCATTTTAATCCAAGGTTCATCCTAGGTGCAACTTTTTATTAATAAGGGGGTACAAGTCTAGGCGCAGACCACCAACTTTTAGTTGGCTGATCCTCGATTCGGGCTGTTGATCAGTATGGAGATGTGGAAGTGTGCACAATGCACATTACACCGATTTGGTATCGGGCGATTCTTCATACAAATTAGAATCGGGCCCAACTATGGGCCAACTAATCGGTAGTCTGCTTCTAGGCAGTGGCGGACTAACAAGAGGGCCCCCGGTCTTTGGGGGGCCCCAAACGCCTCAGTACCTCACGAGTGGCTACCTACTACTAACCATGAATCAGCGTGACATGGCATGTCAGAAAAAGGAGCTTAGATCAGAATTAATACGCCATTTTTTTAAAGCTAGGGGCCTCAGTTGATTAGTTTTCGCCACGGCCCTCTAACGGGCTTAGTCCGCCAAATCCGGATAATGGACAAGTTTCGTGATGTTGAAAACATTAGATTTCACTGAATGGGGTTAAAATATAGACCAAAACTAATAAGCCGGTGAAAATATTTTTTAAATCCATCAAGAAATGGCTGAGAAATTAATTACCTATTTAAATTACCTCCACATTTTCGCGTGGAACTTAAAAATAGGCGGTGCCGTTTTTAAATATGGTAAGGCTTGGATATGTCAAAAAAGGTTACACAACTTTACTAAGAAAGAATCTTGAAGGACCCTGGCTGAAAAAAAAAACTAGTAGAAAAATTAGAACCTAATAGATTAAAAAAAAATTGATCTGTCAACAGCACTGGCTGGACCAGAGCCCCGATTACGGTAATTTTTAACGTCAACAATCCAGACACGCTTCTCGATTCTGCGATACGATTGGTCGTTCAACAGCGTACGTCAGCTGTTTTGACCAATCGTATCGCAGAATCAGAAACGCGTCTGGATTGTAGACGTTATAAAAGTTACCGTAATCGGGGCTCTGGGCTGATTACTGTTTGTACTTCGAATGACTGTCGTGACTACTTCGAATCAAAATGGAGCGAATTTTGTTATGCGCAACCCTAAAGCTGTAACTTTTGTATTTGTAGAGATATTTTCATGATTCTTTCACAATTATTATTCGTTTTATTAAAATAAAAAATTTGGAAACTTGTCCATTATGATTGCAGTTAACAGCTTGTTTTATTATTTTTCAGGAACATCCACCATACAACTTAACACGAGTCATGAGCCATGTAATGTGACTGCATCTAGAGAACGAACCATCAGTAATAATACCGTTGTCATAGACTTGGGAGACGATATGCGTCTTGAATTTATTAGTCAACATTACATGAATCGTATAATGTAAGATTTACCTACTAAACATAATACATAAATAATAATATACTGACATTTATGACGTTGCTCTGAAGTCTTGCTCACGTTTGACGTTAGAACCCCCCCCCCCCCGTGCCGGGTCTATAGCTCAGGCACGCTCAGGCTCGGACTGAGTTAAATGCTAATCCTATAGGTAACTTATTTATTTATTTAATAACAATCTTAGCTGTAACATTACAGGTTACCCCAATGCGATAGAGCAGAATAATTAGTACATATTTTAATATAGTAATTAAAATTGCTTGCTATAACATAAAACTAATACATTTCAGATGCAACGTGAGTCACCCTTCGAACACCCCTTTTGACTTCAAAGTTAAAGAAATCGATCCAAAGCTGAATCCCGATAACCATGAGACGAAACTTGATCGTATGGTTATTGTAAGTATTAAAGACCGAAGCACACTTACCAACCCGGTAACGGATCGTAACCGTATCAACTCGAGGCGGTCAGTATTCTTTGTATTAAACTCCGTACTGCAACGCACTCTTATCCGCACCGTAACGTAAACGCCATGAAGCTATAGATAAAAATGGAGGCCACACTCCGAATACCTACTTGAAGCACAAACTATGTATTACTATCTCGCTCTCGGTGGGCAGACTCTCTCTTTCTAAATAAACAAAAAATATAAATTTGCTCAAATTCAATGAAACTCAATGTAAAATCTTTATTTCTTGACATAGGTATCATTAAATGATAAGTGTAAATACTGGTAAAACGTTTTAGGAAGAAATTACTGTAAAAAATGTGAAAAATGTTTACAATGATCCAATGTCGGAAATCACGAAATAAACACTTACGCGTGGAATCTTATATCACTTCCAGGACACCACGTACTACCGCAACCACGCACTACAAAATTTTGCACCATTTCTTGTGATAAATCAATGATTATTTCCTGTAAACAATCTCAAACGAAATTAACTGCATAATAAACAAAATAGTAAACAACCGCCATGATGGGCCGGATTGGGCCGATGTTGCCACATGGTACCGATTCCCCAGGAATTGGGATTGTAATTCCCTGATTCGCCAACACATGAAACCTAAACGGCCGACAATTTTGTGATTTTTAATTCAACTAGGTAATCGTAGTTCAAATATTTAATTATTTATTTGTTTTGCAACGGGGCGTCTTAGCTAGCTCAGTCTGACACCCCGCTGTTTAGTACTAAGTCCCAGTTCGCCTTCTGCGATGAGGGATGTGTACCTATCCAGGATGCCTACAGGGATATTCGACCAAGGAAACGCACAATCAATAACACAATGGCACTTATAATTCAGGTTCCACAATGGTTTCCTTATTCTAACTTCACTGACTCTAAGTTTATTATTATTACGAGCAATTACTTTACAGGTTATATCACAATTACTAATTAATGGCAATGAAAAGAATAGCGACGCGCCCGATCCGCGTCCCGAGACTAGTTTACGTATCCGCGAGAGGGGCGGCGCCCTGTGCGAGGTTTAGCGAGTGTTAGTCTGGATACTTATAACTAGGGGGGTAGGATGTGGCCCAATTAGCTCGAGCCAGAGGCCGAAGCCCTCAGGTGAGCGCGACCACAGAGGAAAGGCGTTGGACCTACGTGGCGAGGGGGTGTGAAGTTCAGGAAGGGTGGCAGCAGGATTGCTACCGCGGGTCGGGGATGAGTATCTCATGCACTACTCGGTAGGGATTAGAACCGGTAGGCTATCAACGGTAAAACGTCTCGAATCGACAATTAGATCACCGACCGAGTTATCGAGGTACCGAATCAAGCCAGAGTCGAACAGTCAGGGTTAGTGGGAACAATGAGGATAGCTATTCGCTAGGGACTCTGTGCAATGCAGCCGAGGGAACGATAGACGCGCGCGCGAACGTCTGGCTGTTGCAATGGCTCCCGAGCGAATGCTAGGCGCCCGCGGTCGCCGCCGTCTCATATATTAGCTCGGTCCGTGCGGCGTGCGGCCGCGCAGCCGTAGGGTTGTCAAAATCTCCGTGCTCGGTGCTAGGGCTGTCGATGCGTCGCGGGGCGCGTCACAGTTTAACTTCTGATTTGGTTAGTGAATTGGCTATTTCGAAGAATTTACTAGGAGATTTAAATCAGGAGATAGCAATACTACAGTCCACATTAAAAAGAGAGGTCGGCCCACAGAGAGCGAGAAAGAGATAAGTAGGTATTTGACTCAAGTTTTTGTTCCAAGTCTGCCCTCCATTTTTATCTTTAGCTTCATGGTAAACGCCTCGCCTCACGGTTGACAGCGTGACGAAAGGCGACACGGTGTTGATCCCTTTCCGGGTTGATAAATGTGCTATGAACTTTAATTCATACTAATTATTTATTATTGTATAATTATAATTTTAGGAAGACCAGGGTCTACATACTTAGAATATTATGGCAAAACTCGTACAGAGAGGCTTTAGGCGAATTATTGTAGAAAATATTTTTTTTTAAAACTAGCTCATTACGTACCTATACGTCAATACCAGAGTAAATACAAATGAGTAGGTCATCTTCATAGAAACGCACGGGCGCGGTTTGTATGTGAGCGCGCCAATACGTGTGCGGCGCGCACGCACACACTGACAAAATGTAGCGGGGATTAGCGGGGAGCCAGTCGTGGTTGCGCCGAATGAGTCAGTGTGCGCGTGCGCGCCGCATACGTATTGGCGCGCTCACATACAAACCGCGCTCGGGCGTTTCTATGAAGATGACCTACTCATTTGTATTTACTCTGATTACGGTTAGCACTCCGCTAAACTGATAATCATATTAATCATTGTGGGAGGACTGTTCATCAGTGAACGTCCTGTGCTTGGTCAATATTTTCCTACGGAACCACTTGTATCTTTGGCTCTGTTTCTTCGACAGTGGGAAGTATACTGGACATGGTTGGAGAGCGTCACTCTCACTTGGCAATGTCCAGTATAATGGACATTGTCCAGTATAATGGACATTGTCAGGCTGAAATAGGTAGATTTTTTTGGGTATTTTTTCTAGAGTCCTACACAATCTAAAAACTGAAATCTGTAACCGTTTTACAAAAATTAATAAAAATTTCGTCGAATGAAGGGTTTATTAATTTTAGACAATTAAAAATGAGCGTGCGGCGGAAATGGAAAGCAAACAAGAAAACAACGGTACCTTGAAATATTTATATGCAATGAAGGTCAGTAGAATAAATAATAAATATACTATTTTTAATAGTCCATGCAAATAAAGGAATTTTGACTTTGACTTTGAATAGTATGAGCTTATTATAAAAATAAAACTAAAATATGCTGTGATACCAATTTCTTCAACACCCTGTACATATCGTGCGCCTCAACGCATCGTGTGCTTTGGCTCTAAATCGTGACAGGCACGGATTTAGGGGGAGGGGGTGAACCGGGGCACCCCAGGGGCCAAAAAAAGGGGGCGCTTAGAAACAATCGTAGATCCGTGGCTGTCTGGGTATCTTTGGACAGAATCTCTGTAAAAGCAAAAGGTCCCTGACTGACTCCCTCGCTCATTACGAAATCTCAGAAACTACAAGTGCTAGGTGCCTGGATGCGAGCGGCGCAGGACCGGTCTTTGTGTAAATCCTTGGGGGAGGCCTTTGTCCAGCAGTGGACGTCTTTCGGCTGAAACGAACGAACGAACAAGAACAAAATTTGAGAATCTATCTCAAATTTTGCATGAGGGTTCTATTTAGAACGTTGGTGCTCACTAAGACGAGATTTTGCAAAATTCAACCCCTAAGGAGGTAAAACGGGGTCGCGGGCGGCCGCTAGTACAGTCGCAGAATGAAAAGGTTCGTCACCTTAGTGTCGGTTTTCGCTTGCACTAGGTACTGTAAGAGTCAAACCTGCCAACATAACAGTGCAAGAAACAGTGCTGCTAACATTTAAATAAATATGACGTTTGCTAACAAATAGGTTTTGCTTGTTTATTTTTCTATCCCATCAGTGCAATGCAATGATGACATTGACCAATTGACAATAGTTTTTTTTATTTAATAGAAATAATAATGGCAGGTTGAACCAACAAGAAGGTTTTAGTTTATCAATCATAATCTTCTTGACAAGATAAATCGTCAAACAATTTTGATCTGAATAATTTTGAACTTTACTGACGAACAGTTAAAGATTATTTTCTCTAACTCGAGATTATTCTGTAACATAGTTTCAAAAGGTAATATGTGCTCGCGATTCGTTGAAGGAATCAATTTGAAAACTGACGAACCTTTTCATTCCGTGACTGTACATAATAGTAGCAGTAAGCTTTTAATTTATGTTTTGGAATATTACATTTTGTAGAGTTACATAGCCAATAATATGATGTATAGGTCTACCGCTTCACCGCCATCGCCTGAGGTATGGGACGGCACGGGAGGGTGACATTGACATTTATGACGTGACAGAGCATATTCTGAAGATCTGAAGTCTCGCTGGCGTTTGACGTTACAAAAATACCCTCCAGCCGCTCACCTCAGGCACTGACTGAGTTAGCTAGACCTGTAGCTAGTCAAGTCTAAAGCAGGGTACTCATCTAGCCGTGTAGCATGTAATGTATCAGATACTGTATCAAGTGAGTACATAGGCACGAGTCCGCTGCGAGCTGCTCCCGCGTGGTTCGCAGGGAGATCGCAGCGACCCGCCGACTGGCGGTATCACTGCGAGCACAAAGGAGGATTCAGGAGCTCGCAGCCAGATATGCGATGACCGTGGACGAGCCGTACTCACTTGAAGGTTGGTTACGTTACATGCTACGTTACGTGCTACGTGGCAGGTGAGTACCCTGCCTAATTTTCGCGTACCTGAGTCTACAATAAATAAAGTTATTTCATTTGATTTGTTTTATTATTCAATGAAAATATTGTCCGAACCCTTAGTATTTCTCTTCGACAAATACTTTAACACATTGTGAACCACTTTTCTTTCACGACTATAAAAAGATTTTAGCAATTTAATTCACAAAATCAATTGCGCACATTTAAAATAAAGTTTGTTTACACTTTGACAGCAATAGACTGACATGCAAGGTGACATGTCAATGAAGTTTTCAGTTACTGTTGCCATTATAAGAAATTAGTACCATTAGTTTTCCGCAACATGGCGAGGGTTTTTATGTTCCTGGTCAGGCTATACTTTTTACATTACTATAAAAAGTACCAACAAAAATTGTTTTGAACGAGATCTAGTAAGTAGTTTTTTTTATAGCCTGACCACGAACATAAAAACCCTGGCATAGAGGCGCGTCAATTGCATTTGATAGTGAGTGCAACACTGAGTACAGTCGTACCTGTGTTAAATTAATAGGCTAACTTTATGTATCAGGATTCAGAATTACGGGCTAATTTGATATTTTCATAAATTAACGAAAAAATATTATTATAGGTAACCTGGTTTATATAAATTAAATGAAACCATCAATCGAGCTAGTAGGATTTATTTTATTCATCAATAATCAAATCCAGAACTTGAATATTCAACTACAATGTCTGCTCATGAACGCTTCAAACCCGGTACTTATTTCCCAATTCCATAAAATTCAACACTTAGAAAGTGACAAAAATCTTTAAAATAGGTAGTTGAAACAAACCACAGCTAATTTTCATAGTGGACTGTACTATACGATAAACATGTCAGTCAATTTGACAACCTTTGTTGGAAACATTATTCAATGAAAATATTGTCCGAACCCTTGGTATTTCTCTTCGACAAATACTTTAACACATTGTGAACCACTTTTCTTTCACGACTATAAAAAGATT